AAGCATGTCAACATATTCTGTTACACCAAATACACAAAATAATGATCTTTAAAAAAGCATCATATGACCCCTTTAAACCATGTGTGTTACAACTTACCCTGCTTTACTTTGAGTTTGTGCCCCGCGCTCCCCTACTGCAAAATACGCTCGATGTTACAGTTACTGCCCTTGCCCTCCAGAATAAAAGAGAACATCCCAATCGAGTGAAGGGATTTGTGGAAACTGTGGTTCCTAATTATTGTGATCCAACATTTGCCTCGCATTTCAGGATGAAAAGACAAACATTTCAGGTGAAGGATAATCCACTTCTTACCTCCGAGACTGTGTTATGAGCTATATGACCTTATTATTTTTATTGTGAGTATTAGGCTTATCAATATTGCTGATCACTCTTGTTGTGCTATGTTATTGTAATATTTACCATTATATAATCAGAGCAGTATAGAAAAGTCTATGAAAGTGTCACTCCACAATGCAATAGCAAAATATATAAATATGTATAGTATTTTTATGTTACATTAATCAGTGTCTAGCACACCTTCCTAAGGACCAGAAGACATTGCAATTACAAAATGATATTTAGACAGACTTAAAGAAGTTCCAGATCTATACTTGTGGTCTTATTATTTCAGTTGTATTGCCTTTAAAGTAAATAAACATGTGCAAACAATATACTTGCTCTTGTGAATTTATTTTTCTTTTATACCGCGTGGTTTATATACATGTTGCTGCTGATTGGGCTGACATTTTTGACACACCCACCAAACAAGAGAAAACGTATCTCAAACCCTGCTGCACACCGTTTCCTGGAAACATGTAGTTCAAACCGGAAACCGTAGCAAAACGTTGCGCACCGGTTTGAGCTTGAAATTGCCCTTGCTCAAGGACTCCTCTCTGTGCCAATCACAGCAGGCTTGGCCAGCTGACCAATCAGAGCAGAGTAGGCTTATGGAAGGGAGGGGTTTGCTCTGAACTTGCTTGGAATGAACCGTTTAGAAATCATTAGCAAATGACTCTAATATTAAGAATATATGTATATGTATATTCTGAGAAAATTACAATGTTTTCTGACCTTAGATGCATTTAAACCTGTTGTAGGGGACTCCAACACAATATTAGGACACTTTAAAATACCATATGACCTGCTCTTTAACATTTTCAAATAAAATAATGGCGTTTTTTAAGATTTAAAAATAATCTAATTTTGGAGTTTGACAACATTGCAACCATGCTTGAGACGGCCCTGATCGCAAGACACAGCTATACAGTATAGCCTAGTTCAAAACAATATGGGCAAATAGATGAAAAAACACATTCAGACATTTAGAAAAACACAGACATTCACTCCCCTTCCTCCACACACACAGCTCTCACAGTAAACGAGAGTCACAAAAACAAGCCAAAATGCATTCCATTTCTTAATTTCTGAACATTAAACATTGATTGTTAGTCTTTATTTACCTGTTTCTTGTGGTTTCTCATTAAAACTCATAAAAGTAAATAGTGTCGATTACATTTCTAATGTCACAGAAGAGCATAGTTTAATAATGGCGGGGCACATTGTACCGAAGTGTTACAACGTTCCCCATCTGCGCAACTGGAATTTAAATCTGGTTAGTGTCTTCTGCTAGTTAGCGAAGCATTAAAAAACTAAACTGATAAATAACAGATTGGAGATTAAAATAATAGCAGATTTGTCTCATTTTAAATGAATACTAAAAACTGAGTTGAAAAAATTACTTCAGCCACATTTTTGCGAACTGTCAGATAATAACAGAATTTTCATTTTTGGGGCGAACTATCTCTTTAACTGCTACACAAAATAATGTTCTTTTTTGCAACATCATATGACCCCTTTAACTCCTTCTGGAGTTGGCTTGAAAAAATTATTACTCAGTAATAATAGTAGTAGTAGGGCCTAATAGTACTGTAGATTCTAATAGTATAATAGCAATCTACTAATAATAGATTAGTAAAAGTTCATTGTTCCTTTACAAACTTAACATATCAGGACAGATTAAATATGGTTGTGTTAAAGTTTTGGTTGTTTGGATTTTGGAGGGACAGCTGAATGAAAGTCTTATGGGTTTGGAACGACATGAGGGTGAGACCGAATTTTCATTTTTTGGGTGAACTGCCCTTTTAACATATAGAGGTGTTCTAGACTACTCTGCTTCAAACGTGCTTATATGTAACATGTCAAATCTTCTGACTTGGCTAAAAGGAGTGCTATATCTTATAAAAATGTAGGCTTCCTTTGTTATATTGTGACTGGACTACACACGTTTTAATTACACATTTAGTAAAAAATTTGGTGATTAGAACTGGCTTGGGGACGTTGTGTTTTCTTGGAACAACAAGAAACCATACGACGCTGAGGTTGTAAATGATGGTCCTGTGCGTCGGCGTCAGATTTCCAATTAGTAAAGTCATTAAAATGACCACGTTTTCGAGTAAATGATTTCTCCGATACTTCGTGTGTTAGCAGGGCTGAGTTTGAGAGTCAGGAGCACAATTGTGATGGTTCAGAAATCAAACTGCTTCAAACCTACTACCTTTAGTTACCACTCAGATCCCGACCACTCTCGCGCGTCTTGCGTCATTGGAGTCTGTCATCTAGAGGAGGCGCGATTCAGTTCCCTCCGCTTTCACTCATTCAACAAGCTGTGCGTTTTCCGAGAGGTTCTGGCAGGTTAACAGCAGAAAAAACAACCCTATCACTGATCAGAAGAAATGGAGTTGGGGAAATTGAACCGAACCCCTGCAACCACACGGTAACGCGAGCGTTGACGAGGAGAGGACTGAAGAAGTAAGTTACATAAACAGAAACACAACCGGCTTGAAATACATTGTGTGTGTGTGTGTGTGTGTAAGAGAGAGAGGAAGAGAGGATGCGCATGAGGTTTAGATTTGATATAGTCGTCTTTGAAGTAAAGACAGGAATAAACGCCATCCTAGATGAATATTAAAGGATCGACGTACCCGTGAATAATTTCCCTTGATCAAAAGGCAGAGCGGTCACGGATTGGTGAAGAGAGAGAGAGAGAGAGAAAACCTGCAGCCTACAGAAATGGTTCATAAATTATCAATGTGTTGCGTGTAGCGAACTGCGTAATACATGCATCATAAAATTGAATATCACCTGAATATTTCTTATGTTAATTTGAAGAACTGTTTATATGAATAGGACATGACTGAATACTGATCAGATGTTTTGATCAAATGTCTCTTTTAATAGACAACTTTAAAAAAAATGGTGCAGCTCATTTTAAATCATTTCTACAATCATATATGATAAGCTGTCTTACACCTTATGAATTGCAGTTATTAAGAACATTAAAGGATTGTTCAGGTTTCAATACAAATTAGGCATTTAACTTGTACAATCGACAGCATTTGTTAATTGTTGATTATTTGTTCATGTTGATTACCAAGAATTTTACCTCATCCCTCCTTTAAGAGAATTTACAAATAAAATGTAAAGCTTATAGATCTGTAAAAGCACTTACATTCATTTTAAAACTTGTGTATTATTTAAGGTATAAAGTTGTTTTTAATCATCATTTTTACAGTAAAAGGGTTCAAGGCATATCTTTGTCAAGGCATTGAATTTGGGAAAATGGAATAAGTTAGTACTAGATTAATCATGTTATAATCCACATTATTTTAGTCTTGTGGCTTTTTTATTAAAACAGTGAATTTTTCAATATTTACAAATCACACCATAATTGTAAGTGCTTCACTGTATCCCATATTTTTGCTTTTTTTTCTGGTAATCTTAACAGTATGCCACACATGCTGTCAATTAATCTTAACTTGTACTGAACCCGGAGTATCCCTTTTACAATTACTACAATCTACAACTCTGTTGTACTACATGGTCAGATTGTGAGTTTGAGTGAGCCACACATGACCTTGTGCGTCAACATCCACCATGAATGTGTGTGTTAGCCAAGGGAGAATACTGTATGATGTGAATCTCATTTTAAGAATGAAAACATACTAGTTAAAACTGTTTAGTAAAATATAGGTTTATAGCCCACTGCCTGAAATTTATTAAAGGTGGTTTAAAATGGTACATTTAAGATGCTATTGTTATATTTAAATGCCTTACTCAAAAATGAAAATGCACTTGTTTTTTTTTGCATGGCATATGCTGCAGCACCCTTATATCCTGCATCTTTTGAATCAACAATCAGTGATTTAATAATTTGTGCATGTATTTTGTGTATTTTAGCCCTAATTTACTAAATGACTGCATGTATGAAATTGTGCGCACTTTAGTTATTTTCAGTGTTTCTGCTTAACTAGTGGTTCTTTATGGTTCTCAGCCTATGTCATGTGCATCTTTCCCACAGTGCATGCTGCTTGATGGCCTTAGCTGTCCATCAGTGTTGAACTCTTTAAAGGGGTGGTTGACTGTTTTTTTTTTAGGCTTGATCTTGGCTTCAGTGTTACTTTAACACTCTGTAGATTGGGACAATATGTACTCTGAGCAGATTTGATTTAACTCGGGGGATTTTGCTGTGTAATCGTCCCGCCCCTCACCTTAGTGGCATGTGCTCCAGTTGTATTGTAAACAACGGCGTCGTTAATATCGCTTATCAACTTTGTGAAAATAAGTGTATAAATGGAACAGTTCATTGTTTGAGCTGAGCTGGTGATCTGAATGAGAGATAAGAGAGAGAGAAAGAAATGCAGAGCAGGGCGATGCGAGGAACAGTATTGAGAACCGCTGCTTTAGAACATTGATTTTGAAACTTGTGAATCAATCCATTAGAATCTTTAGAAGACAGAATCGCAATTCATATATGAATAGATTTTTACATGCACCCCTAGTTTTCTTCCTCTTCTCTAAAGCAGCGCAGCATGGCCTCGCCCCCTTTGCTGCATGTTCCCGGTGCAGGGTTTGTGAATTCACGAACACGGGAAGTAACTCATTGTAGTCCCTACGAGACGTTTTTGTAGGCATTAAACTGCCAGAATTTTAAAAGGCGATATCTTCGTTTGCATTGAACTTTCAGCGCCACAACATTGCAGATATTGTTAATGCTCAAACAGCAACATTACACACTAACTAACATTAAAAAAGTAAAATCGCAATCAACCACCCCTTTAATCAGGGTAGACACCATACTGAATTTTACACGGATGACAACAAGGCTGTGAGAGACAGACTTACAGACTTTACAATGACATGCGCTGTATAAATGTCCTAGATCACAAGTATTTTCAAATCTCACAACTTTTAAAATAGTTTTACCAAGTTTCTGTCGACTGAAAGAAAGTCTTTTAAAGACGATTTATCAGCTGAATACCTGACATGTTGTTAAATAACAGTACAATCCACTGTACTTCATTACAGCTTCATTTCAGTCCTGTCAAAAATAAAATATTGCGCTCTGACTAAGGTCTATAGTTTCTCTTCTTCTCAGTCTACTAGAGAAGATTGATATATATTGCATTGAAATCACTAGATAATACGAATAGTTAAAATTTTAAAATAAAATTTTTGGGGGTTGAAGAGATTTGAAACTACCTACCTACCTGCTCAGGATGACCTACCAGTAATAACATTTCTGTCATGACAACTCTCGAAGGGATTAGCATTGGTAATGTAGATGACAATATTAATGTGTCTGGTCTTGGCGGAATAGATTTGCTCCGCTGCTGCTGCTGCGGCACACTGCAAGCACTGCTGCAAGCACTAGACAAGTATTTGAATGTTGAGCAGCGAGCTCATTGGCTGCTGATACAAAAGAACCAATCAGCTGCACCATGTGATAATGTCATTGAATTGTCAGATTTAGACCTATCGGACAGCACCACCTAGAGTTTCATGCCAGAACTTTAGATTTAACTCACAAACCTATCCCTAACACTGAGCCTTTGCTTCACAGGCCCCAAAAGATGTTATGCTTTCACAAGCATAAGTGTATGAGATAAACTGTCTACAGAATAATACGTATAAAGTAAAGGGATAGTTTACACAAAAATGGAAATTCTGTCATTATTTACTCACCTTTAAGTTGATCTCATATGCAGAGTCCAAACTAACCTTTAGCTACACAAGCCAATGGTTGATGACTTGTGAAAATTTACTGGCCATAAATATTTTTTTAGCGGTCATGAAACTGTATTTGTATTATTTGATATTGTCAACTGGCAATATCACCATTTTATATACTTACCAATGGCGATTGTGACTCATATTTGATGCTTGGTGAGTGGTAATTTCTTTCTTCAGTGGAACGCGATAAGTAAATTTTTAACAAGTCTATTTATGGTCTTTAACAAGCTGCAGAGAAAAGTGAGCAAAAGAGGCACTTTTTACATGGACGATACAATCTTACATCTTTCCCACAGATTCTGATTCTTCGACCTGTACACTCTTAAAAGCATCACTTTTACAGTCAAGTCTTAAACTGCATAAAATTGCCTCAAACAGCATGGGATGCAAGCTTTCTCACCCTCAAGGACTTGAGTCTCAATGGTGAGAGCCTGCCCACACAAAGAAGCCTTCAAACATTTCTTTGTTTTGTGTGTCCGTCGCATACACCAAATGACTTCTCCACTTACAAATCAGAACCTAGCTGATGATCTTTTCACCAGGTCTGCGTCACAACTCACCAGCACTCTATTGATTAAAGCTGTGGTTTTCAGTCATGGTCCTGGGGACCCACTGCTCTGCACATTTTGTAGATCTCTCTTATCAGACACACTAAGTTCAATTTGGAGTTCTCTACTAATGAGCTGATTATCTGAATTTGAATCAGAAGGGAGACAAATGTGCAGAGCATGATTGAAAGCCACTACTTTAAAGCACATCTCCTGTACAAGCATCCTCAACCTGAAGCACAGGAGTTCTTTGGACTGACTTATGAAATGGATTGAACTAGGCCCACATATAACTTACAAGTTTTGCTAGCCACATTAATGAAGGAGGACTTGTCTCTGACAGGTTTCAGGGCTTTTCTAGAACAGCAGAAATGTATCTTAACATACAGTATCTTTATCTTTAAGAATGGCTGTACTAGTAAATTCAACCCCCACATAACTCACACACAGTAACACTGGCGTGATGCTGGGGGGAAAAGAAACACATGCTGCTGACTGTAAAGCACTGTAATGACAGAGGTGTTGGTAATTATAATTGCCAGACTAAATGAGTGTCTGCAAGAAAATTGAGAAAAATCATACTTTCAGAGACAGAAAAATTAATATTTTTATTTTCCATAGCTAATGGGACATAAAGTTTTAAAAAAAAATTAAAATTAATGGTGCTCAAATGGAGAAATGTGAATTTATTATTATTATGGGTTAAAGTGCATAGTGCTGAAACCCTATTGCAATTTTTAAGATTTTCAAAGATCACTATTCTGACCTAAAATTGATCAGGCAGACCAAACCATAAGGTGTAGAGACCTGAAACTATGAGGGATGGTAGTTCCTACCCCGTCTACAACGTCACCAAGGCTTGCCCTGATCGATAACTCCTAAACCACTCTTTGCAGAATCCTTGACTCAAGACGAACAAAACGCACAACAGATTTGATCGCCACCCTGGCAACATTGTTGGCTATTTTGAATTTTTTTGAAAAACCTACTTTTGCGAAGTAGTCCTGTTTTTTTTTTTGCCCGATTGGAGCCAAACCAGTGCAGAAAAATTATCTGGATAGTGAATATCAATAATTATCAAACAAAGTTGAGTTTTCAACTCACCGTCGCAAAGAGACACCAAAACGTTCAAAAGAAATTGGGCCACTTTTTCTAAAATGGCTATAACTCTTGAACGGAATGAGATGTTTA